CAGCTCAGCATTAGGGAGACTCAGCTCAGATTCCTGACCTCTGTGTGGTCAGATGCTGTACTGTTACATTACCCCCAGGATTTTGGCAATTCTTAAGCTTATAGTAGGAAATGGATGCAGGCCCACACTTGCCTACACCCTCAGACCATCCATGCCCCTGCTCCTAACCAATGGTTTGTGTGAGTCTAGACAGCTACCTGGTGTGGAGAAAGCTCACTGCTCCCCTGCTCAGAGGCCTTCTGCTTTCCTTCATGCCTCCTTAGGGGATGAGGAGGTGGGACTTGTCTAATGGCTAAACTTCATAGAAATAAAGGGACATACTAGGGCCAAACCCTTTCCTTCTAGGAGTGAGCAGTTCTTCCAAGGGTGGCCTCCACACCAGGTGACCAACAAAGACACAGACCCCAACCTCCCATGAGCTAGAGAAGGCTCGCCAGCACTTAAGACCTCCTGACCTCTCCCCACTTCAGCAGTCACAGAGATGGCACCAGCTCTTGATGCCACTGCCTTTGTTTTATTAATTTGTTTGGGGGGGGTAATTATCTAATAGAAACCTCCCCCATTAAAACTTCAAAAATATGTGCCTCAACGGATTATTATGAAGAACAAGTGAGAAAATGGGGTGCATTTAATATGGTGTCCAAAAATGAAGGGAAGAGAGGAGGCAGAAGAGGAAGAGGAGCAGGAGGAGGAAGAGGGGTAGAAACACATACACAGAGATGTAATGTTGGTTGACTGACAGAAGTCAGCACTGTTAAATACACATTAATACCCCTGGTTACACCTTGCCTGATACTGGAGGACAGGGGTCTGTGCAAACACTTTAACCCACCTCCTCCTCCTAGAAGATGAAGTTGACACCATCTCCCAAGGTTGAATAACTGATCATGGTGGCAGATGTTATGAAGGACACAGCTGGTGTGCCAACCCAGAACCATACCTCCAAAGGGGCCTAAGTGCTTTAAGTGTAAGCAGCAGGTACCCAGCGAATGCCTGCTGCTTCCCACAAGGGGCGGAAGAGCTCTGGCAGTGAGGCTCTCTGGCCAGCAATGTGTGTAAGCCAGACAAGTTAACGGTAGAGGCACTAAAGCCCAGAGGGGGTGTGAGCAAGTCAGGGACAGTGGGTGAGGGCAGAATGAAAACCAAGTGAGAACCAAGGACCCCAGGCCCCCCACTTCACACACCAGAGCCACTCTCCCACACCACCACACCACGAGCTTTGATATGCTTCCCTTCTCTGGTACAGAGTTTCTGTGGCAATGGAGGATAATCAAAGACGCTGCATTAAACTAGAGGTAAGCTGACTGGCTCGGCCTGAAGAGGACTCTGACGGTCGGCAGCAGCAAAGGTGCTAGGAGACAGTGAGTGCCACCCAAAGGCTGTGGACAGGATTCATCCTGGGGACAGACACGACACACTCGTTCACATTGTGGACAAATTGATGCCTCTGAGTATGTTTCCTCCTCTGTGCAATGGGGCTTGCTTACCCTGCACAGACCTGACGACTAGGACACACCAGTGCTTCACACAGCATGGGTGCACATCAAAGAATTACTGAGTTCTGCACCGTGCTGCCGGCAGCAGTGATGGTTCCATTAGGCAACCATTCATGGAGTATCTGCACACCAGGGACTGTCTGAAAGGCAGGGAACATAGAGGTCCCTGTCTTTGAGAAAATAACCTGCAGTGGAGGATCCGGACAACAGACAAGTAAGGAAACCCAGGAATCTCTGGTACCGATAAACACCGCGAAAGAGGAAAGCACAAACATGTGACTAACAAGAGAGGGACAGCGTCAGATGATGGGGAGCACAGCCTTTACAGAAGGGGCCAAGCTGTCCGCTCCACAGGAGGGGGTGGACATGCTGTACTATAGAAACAACCCCTGTGGGAAGAATGAAGAACTGAGTACAGCGATGGAGGAGAAGGACTGGCCCTAGCAAGACACAGAGTGAGAAATACAGGGTCACAGTAGCCAGAAGTGTGGCTTCAAGGTAGAAGGAAGGCAGCAGACAGGTAAGAGGGAGTGATGGACAGACAGAAGGATGGAGGAAAGAAGGGAGAGAGAAGAACGGAAGGGCAGTGGGAGGGAGGAAATACGTCAGTGGGAGATCCTAGAGAGCCCTGCCAGAACAAGACCTCAGCAAGGAGCACAGGCAACATCACAGGTCACTGTGGAAGATCAGATTACAGAGTAGACAGCTCAGAGAAAGCTTCTCTCTTTCTAAAGCCAAGGGGAAGGGGGGGCTTTTTCACCCCAGCAAGAACAGACAAGTAAACACATAAAAGAAAGTGAAGACCATATATAAACAGAAAAAAGCACCAGAATATTGAAACATAAAATCAAGAAAGAATTTAGTAAGAGTTGAAAATGAAAGGTGTATACCAAACAAGATTGATTACACAAGATTAAAAATCGTTACTCAAGAGAGGCATGATAAACAAAATTTGCAAACAATAACAGAATTAGAGGAGGTATTTTGCAAAGTCTAGGAGCAACAAGAGACTACCATCCACTGAAAGAAGCTAAATCCTCCTTTGAATAAGATGAGCTGATGGCTCAGCAGGTGAAACAGCTTCCTATCAAGACTGACTGACCCCCTGAATTCACCCCCTGGACCCACGTGGAGGAGGAGACAATGGACTCCCAAAAGTTTCTCTCTGACCTCCATACCTGCACTAAGGCATTCTCTCTCTGTCAGGACCAGTGTAGCTATTCTTCATGCCCAATGACTAGAGTCTAGTCAAAATTACCAGAACTGCATGGAAATAGAACACAAAACAGAACTAAAGTTCAATGGAAAACTGGACAGCAGCAGTAGACCCACAGGAATCAGGGGATGGGGACTGTAGAACCATGATCAAAATCCTATACTTGAATTTAAGGAGAATCTTAAAGGGACTGGCTGAAACCTGTTTTTTAAGTGAATAAAAATTCTAAAATGTAAAGATAAACAACAGAAATTAAGAAGTTATTTAATAACTTTAACAGCATGACAAAACAGAAGAAACATGAACCAAAAAATAGATGAAGAAAAAATACCCAGATGGGGGCTGAGCTGGTGTGTGTTCCCACAGCCCGAGGACCCTGGACAGATGGAGGCAGAGCTGGTGTGTGTTCCCCCAGGTCCAGCTCCCTGGGCAGATAGGGGCACCGCTGGTGTGTGTTCCCCCAGGTCCAGCTCCCTGGGCAGATAGGGGCACCGCTGGTGTGTGTTCCCCCAGCCCCAACACCCTGGGCAAATGGGGGCCTGAGCTGGTGTGTGTTCCCACAGCCTCAGCACCCTGGGCAGATGGGGACCGAGCTGGTGTGTGTTCCCACAGCCCCAGCATCCTGGGGGCCAGGAGTCTGAAACTAGCCTGGACAGTGAGACCTCACTGCAAAAAGGAAACAATCTCCAGATGGAAGTACAGAGGGAGAACGACTGAAAAAAATGAAGAATGTTAAAAAGCCACACCACATAAACACGGTGAAAAGACTATATGTGTAAGCAGAGTCCCAGACCAAAAAAGAAAGAAAGAAAGAAAGAAAGAAAGAAAGGAAGGAAGGAAGGAAGGAAGGAAGGAAGGAAGGAAGGAAGGAAGGAAGGAAAGAAAGAAAAATGGTGAAACAAAACCAGTATTTAAAGAGTCAATAGAGGATGATTTTTCAAAACTGATTTAAAAAAAGATCCATCCTCAATTTCAGAAAGGTTAATCTACCAAAAAAGAATCAGCAGTGAAAACCACACTGGGGTGTTGCATCCAAACTGCCAGAAGTCAAAGAAGGAGCTGAAAGTGGGGGGAGCAGCAGAGGTTTTTAAAAGACAGGTTTCCCTCACAAGTGCAATGAAACCTTCCAAGTGTGGCCCGACTCGCCGCCAGCCAGGAAGAACACCTACGGCCACAGAAGGTCATGTGCAAAGACACCAGGCAAGGGGAAAGTTGAGAATCAAACATTAAGGATCCACAACAGTAAACTAGAACACAGTCACAAACCAAGAGAAAGTAGAACTAACGAGATCATTAAAAAGGGCCCAAATTAATGGAAAAAAAACCCAAACATAAAGCCAAAGGGGTTCCTAGACAATATGATAAGCAAGACTAATGCGGTGTGAATGTACACACACTCAAGTGTGCAAGACGGTAATGACAGACCGCTGACATGTTAACCACTACTAACTGACAATTTCAAGAATGAAGCAGAGACATCACTGTGGATCTTGAAAGTAAAAAAAAAAAGCATATTTTAACTGTGTGATTTATACCAATATTCTAAATACAGCTAAAATTGTCAACGTCTTCGAAAAATATAACTTTGCCAAACCAACAAAGAATAAAAGTTTCTAATTAAAAGTATTTTGATGAGTATACAGTTTAATACCCTTTAGAAGTCCTTCCCACTAAATTCTACCACGTATTGAAGAAGACAAAGCATCAGTCTTATGCTCACTCTTCAAGGGAAGAGAAGAAAGCCAGCACCCAATAAGGGAGTGGCAACAGGAAACCCCCCAGCCAGTCTCCTTCATGAATCTATGCACTCAAGTCTGAAATAAAGATTTCATTCCAGGTGCAGGCAGGACTAGCTGAATATTCAAAAAATCAATTACCTCAGAAATCCCCTGTGGCTCATTATAAAAGAATGGAGTTAAAAACAAGGCCAAAGAAATAAAAGTATCACCCACAAGAAGCTCTGGGGGCTGGTTCATCATTGAATGCAGGGAACGCTTAGCCACACCAGCCAGGTGTGCCTCTCCAGAGGAGCTGGTGAACCTCAACTAAAGTCATCGACAGCTTGGGTGATGGGAAGGGCAGAGAAGGCCTCCGCAGAACACCAGAAGGCATGACCTCTGGCTTCATTTTCTTCCTGGTTGATCACGACCCCTGGCCCCGCCTCCCTCACAGGCTAGCAGTGAGAGCACAAGAGACCAAGAGAGCCCGTGAAAGCCACGAGACGCTGGACCATGTGTACCAGATGGTGTTTGGTTTTGGAAAGCCCCGACCTTGGCTCTGATGCTCACCTGAGAGATGGGGGCTGGCTGCCCTGTCGCTTGAATGCTCTTTTCAGCTGCTCCTGGGTCATCCTGGAATTCCCATCAGGCAAGTACAGCTTCGAAGGTGTTGTGCTGGTTTCTGTGTGGCTGTATCCCAACGGGCCATCCTCTGAAACACTTCTGGGCCTGGGCCTGTTTCTCTGGGACAGCTCTTGGCTGCTGGAAGTGGCATTTGGCTTCTCCACAGGCAGCTCATTCAGCTGGCCCAGGGGGCTCCTGGAGATGGAGTCACTGCTCAAAGTGGGGACCTCCTGTGGCCCTGGACAGGCTGGAGTGTGGACAAGAGCCTCAGACGGCTGCTGGCTTTCCTCTGGGGCATGGAGCTTCCTGTTCAAGGATGAGGACCGTCTCAGAGAGCGCTTGTGGAAAGAGTCCTGGAAGGGTAAGGAAGAGACAGAGCGTCCTCAGTTAGGGAGAAATACTTTATTCCTTGTGATGGTTCCTCCCCACAAGATCTGCTCCCACCCCAACTCCTTCCTTTTTTTATTGAAATGCTTTTTTTTTCATACACTATATTCTGGTTACAGTTCTCCCTTGCCCTACTCCTTCCTGTTCCTCCCTACCTTCCCTCCCGCCTGGACTCAAATTCTTTCTGTCTCTCCTTATAAAACACAGACACTAGGGAATAATAACAAAATAAAATAAAAGGATAAAAACAAAACAAACAAATTGGAATAGGACAAAACACCCAATGAGAGCCAAAGAAGAAGCACAGTAAAAGCACACAGATGCAGAGATACACGCAGTAATACACACAGAAATCCCACAAAACACAAAATAATATATACGGAAAGGACCTGTAAGGTAAGGGGGAGGAGAGACAGAGAGAGAAAGAGAGAGAGAGAAAGAGAGAGAGAGAGAGAGAGAGAGAGAGAGAGAGAGAGAGAGAGAGGAGAAAGAAAGAGGAAAATAAAATGCTCTGACTTAACATGAAACAAAGAGTTTGCAAAGATGCCATTGAGTTTGTTTTGAGTTGGCCTTCTACTACTGCACATGAATGGGGCCTACCTTTAAGAGTGAGATTCCCTTGCAGACAAATAATATTCCTCAAGGCTAGGATTAGGAGATGAGGGTCTGTGTCCACTTCTCCTTTCAGCTCTAGGACCCCATCTGGTGTAGACCCGTGCAGGCCCTGTGTAAGCTGCCTGAGTCTCCATGAGTTCATGTGTGCACTGTGTTGAGAAGGCCTTGATTCCTTGGTGTCCTCCAGGCCCTTTGGCTCTTACACTCTTTCTGCCTCCTCTTCTGTCGGGTCCCCTGAGGCCTGGAGGACCAATTCCTCCCCTTAACCTATTCAGGAAGATGCCATTCATCAGTGGCCTTCCTGCACAGACCCCAGGGCACCCTCGGTGGCAAGAAACCTAACGCCTGAGTTTCTACTTGTGTTCTCACCTACAGCTGTCATCTGTGGAAGCTACTCTACTTCTCTGTCCCTCACACCCTCACCAGTAACACACGTTGTCCACAACCCAGCTTGGCATTTTTAATGAGGATTAGGATGCGGTGGCCAAGTTTTTAAGAAGCTAACATCCTCGTGTTTAGCTATAGTTATTGGGGTTTGCTTATCACGGTAGGTGCTATGTGGCACACGCACTATGATAACATTTGGTGCCCAGGTGTGGGGTGAGGGAGGAGGTGCGGTAGCCCTTCCCTTTTACAACCATGGATGGAACAGGGTACAGCCCTAATGTACAGCAGGGATGCCACAGAATCATGGCAATCAGCAGGCCACTCGCACTCCGTGTCTCTCCCCGTGACAGATCAGGAATAGCCAAAGCCATTCTTCCCTCACCTCTGACGTCCATGAAGACCCCAGCATAGCCACCTATACCTCCTTAGCACTCGACATCTGTTTATTTGAAAGGGAGGAATACAACAGTTGGACTGGTGATTTGCTGAAGAAATGGAACCTCTGCTACTAACCATCGAGGCAATGGATGCGGACTGCTGCAGAGAGACAAAGTACACCTTGGGGCTTTTCCTTGGTACAGACACCAGGATCTCTAAGCATTTCCAGAAACAACTCAGGGGCCAGTGGTACTCTGGGCTGGAATAAGGAGAGCTAATGTTGTAGTTTTCTGGCCTCATGGACATGACTAGATATCATAAATCTGCTCCAAAGCTGATCAGGGCATAGCTGCAGAGAGTGATAAGAACATGGGTCACCATTCCCAAGGAGACACATGTGCAGCCTCTCGCCTCATCCATGACTTATTAAGAAAGTCTTCAATCCCTTCTCTTCAGCAACCAGCACATGTGACCAATGTTGAAATACGAGCAGCGGGGCTGCGTCCCCAGCACCCCGGCCGCCTGCTAGCTTATGCCCGAAATAACAACACACAAACTGTATTCATTTAAAGACTGCTTGGCTCATTTCTATCTAGCCTCTTCTAGGCTAATTCTCGCACCTGGATTAGCCCATTTCTAATAATGTGTGTAAGCACCCCAAGGTGCGCTTACCGGGAAGATTCTAGCCTACGTCCATCCTGGGTCGGAGCTGCCTGGGAGAAGCGGAGCCTGGCATCTCTGCTCCAGAAAGCAGAGCCGTCGAGTCTAAGCTCACTTCCTCTTCCTCCCGGCATCCTATTCTGTTTACTCCACCCACCTATGTTCTAAGCTATGAGGCCAAGCAGTGTGTTTATTACTTAACCAATGAAATCAACAGATTGATATATGACACTCCCACATCAGACCAAAATGCCAAACATCTACCAGAAAACCTAGGAAATTCTACAGCAACCACCATTCAAGGCACCTCAACAGATTCACAGGTCACAAGGGAAACCTAACTTCCCAAAACAATTACCAAAGGACTCTGCAGCAATGTCCTTAAGGTGGATCACATCACATCCTTCCCACCAGGCATCACTCTCACCTGCACACACTAAAGGACTGAACCGTCTTGGTAGGAGACTGGACCCTGGAACCCGCTGTACCGCTGGTTCTCAAAGTGCGATCCACTCACTGTAGAGGTCCCCAGACCCTTTCCGGAGTTCAAATAAAACCTCAAAGTAACTAGATATGACTCGAGTGTGTCCTCATGGTCCATATGCTGGGAGCCTGATGGTGTTAAGTTGGAGGAAGCTTGAAATAGTCGGGCCCAGCAAAAGGCAAGTGGGTCATAGAGGCAGCAGCCCTTGAGGGGATCAATACTGATCTCATGGGACTGGATATAGTCCTATAAGAATGGCGTGTTGAAAAAGAACCTGGAACCTCCCTGAGTCCCTTTTCATACACATAGCCTGCCTCTCCCACACACACTCATGCCATGGTGGCATCCACTGTGCCATGTAGACCAAAGGTCTTCACCAGAGTCCAAGCACACAGGAGTCTTAAGACTCCAAGACTCCAAAACTATGGCCTAAATAAACACCCTGTCTATGTAATATCCATCCTCAGACACCTTGTCAGAATGGCAGGCAGCTGACTGAGACAGTAGAAATATGGTCAGTAGGAAAAACTGCTGGCTTTTTACACAAATGTGAGCTTTAGGGAACAACTAGAACACTGATTTACCTGGAGAACAGGCCCTCGGGAGCTTTTGTTTAAGCAGTTTTAACCCCTCTCAGTCTGGAGTACACAGCACCCATCTTCAGCATTCCATGCAACCAAACAGGAGGCACATGTGCCCACTGGCCCACTGGCCCAGCAGGAAGGAGAGTGGCTACAGCTTGCGTAACCGTCTAGCTGTCAGTGAAGTGAGCTTGCTGTTATTTTCAGGGAACGGCAGACAGACCACGGCGTTTCAGACTTGGAATTTGGCAGGCATTTCTTGAAAATAAACTGAGCTTGTCACACCAAGGGAAACAAATGATGCCCTGTTCTCAGTGATAAAACACAAAGCTGCAGGGTAAAAACCAGAACTTTCGGGAATCCGACATCAAGAGCTTGGGGGCTGGGAGAGACTTAAAATTCCAGCAATCTTTGGTGGTCACATCAACAGATGTGTTGTTTTTTTATTTATGTTTTCCATATAATGAGCTGTCCCCATTTAGAAGATCCGTATGACTCAGTAACCGATATATTTCACATGACTGGTGGTGCATTGTGCTACTTAATCATACAGGAATAAAAGATTCAACACGCGTGATAGGCCTATGGGAACTAAGAAAGCACAAAAAGCACGTGTTGTGGTTTAAGGTTCCACACTGAGGGATGGGGATGAAACCTGGTTTGATAGTGTACTTGCCTAGCAGAAGTGAAGCCCTAGGTGTAAACCCCAGTGCCACATACGCCAGATGTGGTGGCACACACTTATTAATTCCAGCCATTGGGAAACGGAGGCAGGAAGGTCAGAAGCTCAAGATCATCCTCAGCTAGATAGCAAGTTTGAGGTCTGCCTGGGCTACCTGAGGCCAAATGAGGGAGTCAGATCCCTTAAGCTGGAGTTACAGGCAGTTATGAACAACCCAAGATGGGTGCTGGGAACTGAACTCAGGACCTCTTGAGGAGCAGCACTGAGTTATCCCTCCAGGCCCAAGTTTTAATTTCCAATATAGCAAATGTCAATGGATACAGTGCCCCTATATACAAGAGCCACAGGGATCCTGAGACTAAAAAGTCTGAGCGCCACTGCTGAAGTCTAAACTTGTACCTAGACAGGCTCCCTCCCTTACCATGTCCCCAGCAGGGAGAGGAGCATGCTGTCCCCACTGAGGCAGCTCTAACGTACAATCCTCAAGCCAACTCCCAACCAGGGATGCAGCCTCACTTCCCAGAGCCTCAGGGGACTCCATACCACTCCACCCTGCAAAGGTCCATGAGCAAACACATGTGCCACACACACATGTGACAGCCCTCAGGAGCCTCAGACTAAACCAAAGAGTTATGAGTTCCTCTCATAATGCTACCACACCACTCCACGGGTGGTGGCCATTCATGGAGCACTAACACTGACCAGTAATGACTGCCAGAGAAAGGCATTATGGGATGGCACCAATGTGTGAAAACCAAATATTTGCCACCCTGGGACGAGGCTACTCCCCCCTCCACATTTGGAGAAATCTCTTACATACTGCCAAGAAGAATCATCTCTTCCAAATTCAACACTACCAAAGAGTAACTTTCCTCCTGACTTCTCTCCAACCTTGCTGGCCACTTTCATCTGACAGGGTCCAGTTTATGAAGTTTCTTCTTTGACAAGATGCCTTGGATGGGACACAGCACCAGGTGAGGTGTGAGCCACGCAGGGAACCAGACTCCCACTCCTTCACCAGCACACCAAGATGTGTGACCATAAGAATATAGAAACGCCAGAGATGCCTAGGTGATTTCTGATAGCAGTCCAACAAGAACCTCAGCCAAGAGAAATGAAATTCCCAATCAAAGGCCCCACGGGACTGGATGAGGCAGGGAGAGGATCCCCCCTCCTTTGTTCTAACTCCACAAGAGTGAAAAGATAAGTGTCGGCATCAACACACTCACCCAGACACAGACACACAGCTAAGTGAGAGGAAGTGGCCTCCACAGACAACCAGTGTAGGCCTGCCAGGGCCCCCCATGTTACTGATACAGGACGTGATGCTGCTATTTTCCCATCTATTGTTTTGAAAACTTCTTTCATGCTGTCCTCTCATTTGATGTACCCTTCCACCTAATGAGATCAAATCATGCCCCCTCCTTAAAGAAAACCACCAAGTAGTGAGTGAAATTTCTACAGTTTTTCTGAAAGAAAAAAAAATTAGCCACCTTTAATCTCAGCACTCAGGATGCAGAGGAAAGCGACAGATCTCTGTGAGTTCAAGGCCAGCCTGGTCTACAAGAGCTAGTTCCAGAACAGGCTCCAAAGCTATAGAGAATCCCTATCTCAGAAAGAAAGAAAGAAAGAAAGAAAGAAAGAAAGAAAGAAAGAAAGAAAGAAAGAAAGGAAGGAAGAAAGGAAGGAAGGAAGGAAGGAAGGAAGGAAGGAAGGAAGGAAGGAAGGAAGGAAGGAAGAGAGAGAGAAAATTGATAGCTTTAGGACCAGGATTTCTACTCTTCTTTAATCACGGTGGTAAGCAATGATAGTCTCTAAACTAGGGGAGTTACCCTACTCTAGGAATGCAAAGACAAGGCCAGGAATGTGTATCTTCACTCACAGTAAGGACAGATGAGATCAAAGCATCCATTTCACTAATTCAGGCAGGCAAACTGAGGGCAAGGAAGCAATGGAGACTGCTGACACTCCACTAGAAAGAAGGAAGCCCTGCAGGCATCCTTTCTCAACCAGCAGTGCCTAAAGCCCATCTCTCACTCCCAGGACTACAGAAAACAGAAAGGAGGCAGTCCCACCTGCGGGGAGCTGGCGACAGGTCCGGCCATCATGCCTCGGACGATCAGGCCAGACTTTGGCCTGGTCCTCTCCGCTGCCCTCTTCACATCTGTGCAAGGCTCTGATGAGTGAAGCTGCTCCACCTTCTCCCACGCAGAAACCAAAGGGAGGCTGTCACCCAGGACCGTGTACGCAGGCTTACTTTTGTGTGGGCTCTTTTTGGGGGATATGAAATTACCAAGTATGTCCCCATCATGTTTGTCATGCCTGCAAAAACATAATATTTCCATTAAAACAGAGCCACCAAATGAATTATAATAATAAACCCCATAGTTAACCATCATTCATAAATATATTATTGAAAATGAGCCAAGGCCCTGTCAGTAGAGGTAGGAAATAGAAAGCACCTCTTTGGTACCAGGGCAAGTGCAACAAAGTACAGGAAAAGTCAGAGACGACGATCCCCGAAGGGACCCTAAGCCCTAATGGCTGACAGCTGAAGAGCATCTTGGATCCTGCAGATTCAAACGATAAAGGAAGGAACCTGCAGTGCAGCGCTGGGCATACAGAATTGGCCTTGCTGGGCAGACTTGACATTTCCAGGTGTTCAGTAAAGCTGCACAAGTGTGTGTGTGTGTGTGTGTGTGTGTGTGTGTGTGTGTGTGTGTGTGTGTAGTGGTGTGTGTGCAAGACCGGGCAGGGAGGAAGCAAAAGAAAAAAGTTAGAAACAATAAAAAGAAGCAAAAGGTGCTCTCCTTTCGTGGTGCGTCCTAGTGGTCAGCCATGTCAAGATGAAGCTGAGTATAATCTTCCCAATAACTGGCTGTCAGAAACTCACTGAAGTAGACGATGAACACAAGCTTCGGTGCTTTCCATGAGAAGCACATGGCCACACACACTGGTGCTAGTGCTCTGGTTAAAGAGTGGAAGGCTTACGTTGTCCAAACTGTGGGAATGACAAACAAGGCTTTCCCATGAAGCAACATGTCTTGACCTAAGGCAGAATGGACCTGCTGTTGAGAAAGGGCCAAGATCTGGAGAGACGAAGCTCAAGTCTGTTCAGGGATGCATGTTGATGCCAAGCTGAGTGTTCTCAACTTGGCTATTGAAAGAGAAGAAGAGACTGGGGGGAGATGACGATGATGATTCCTGGAGAGCTTCTACTGTACTTCAGCAGTTAAGACCCTAAACGCTAGCAGAATCCTAATGCAGTTTCTCTAAAGAAGATGATGTTCTGTACTATGTGGTCAGAAAGCCCTTAAATGAAGTAAAAAGCTCAGGACCAAAGCACCCAAGATTCAGCACCCCACATGCCCTGCAACACGGATGTCAACACATCACTCTGAAGAAACAGCACACTAAGAAAAACGAGGAGAGTACAGAAAATGCTAAACTTGGGGCCAGGAGGATGAAAGAAGCCAGGAAAAAGGCCAGGAACAGATTGCCCAGAGATGGAGGCTGTCCTCACTGAGAGCTCCTACTTTAAAGTCTGAGTACAGTCAAGAATAAGTCTTTAAAAGCAATAGTCGGGCAGTAGTGACACACACCTTCAATCCCAGCACTCAGGAAGTAGAGGCAGGCGGATCTGCGTGGGTTCGAGGCCAGCCTGCCCTACATACGGAGTTTCAGGACAGTCTGTTACACAGAGAAACCTTGTCTCAAAACAAAAACAAAAAAAAAAAAAAACATAGTATCAAAGAAATGACCAGATTTTGAATCTCAAAAGAAGAAAAAAAGCAAGAAGCGAAAAAGAACAGGACTGAGGTAAAGGGGAGCTTTGCCTGGGCTGCTCAGAGGCCTGCATCTCCTGATCTCAGATTTCTTCTCCTGGTCCCTGGTATACATGGCACTGATACCAACACTGTGCCACCTCCCAGCAAGCCTTGGGCCACACGTGAATGCAGCAGTCACTGTGTCATTGTTGGGGAATGTCAAGCAGAGAGGACAAGACCAAGAGAGGCTGGGGGAAGCTGGAGGGAGCGCCTGGAGAATTCCTGAAGTTCGGCACACAGGCCTGGGAAGGAGCTAGCTCACTCCAGTGAGCAGTGGGGGCTAGGCTGGAACAGACTTGCAAAGTTATCCTACAGTACCTCGGATTTCTCCTAAAAGTGACAGGGAGTGTCTTGTGACCTTCAAGCAAGGAATGACGTGTCCCAATGTGGACTATGGAACGCTCACACTATCCAAGTCAGGGCAGAATCTGTGGATTTGTTGACCTCCACATTACGCCCAGGACAGCACTCATAAGAGTTATGCAAGGAAAAAGGATGGACATGTGAACAAGGAGACTTTGTCATCTGGTCAGGAAGGGCGGAAGCATTTAGCATCACTAGGAACCAGGAGCTGACAGGATATAAGAAAAAAAAAAAAAGAGAAAAGGGAACAAAAAGTATGCCAGGTGCATCAGGCTTGGGAAAATGGTAAGATCGGGACCTGGAAGCTTCAACTACCACACTGTTGGTTTGCTCCTTGTCTCAGAAATACTGACTTTCCCAACCAGACAGCAAATGCCTTTGCAAAAGGGGCCACCTTTTTACCTCCCTTCTGATCTTTCATGTTTAACCACCAGAAAGAAATGCTTTTCTGCCATGTGGAAGAAAAGACCCATTCCCCAGAAGCTAACCCCACTATTGGTAACTTCATACAGTATGGGATTATATAAGTTATGCACACCATTGGAGACCATGTGCACCATGTGATAATTGCAGACCAGTGAAACTGTTTTTCAAATAATGAAGGCTCAATTATAAAACAATATACCCATTTCAAAGCACATCTCTGAACCTTAGGAATCATGGAATATAAAGTCTACCTTTGAAATCCTACGTAAAAACCATCACAAAATGGTCAGTCTCATGGCCTTTTGAAGAAACTAACATGGCTCTGTGGCAGAGACCCCAAAACATACAGTGGGGTAAACTGAACAGCGACACCCAAAGATGTGCACATCCAGATCCCTGGAAGCCCTAACTATGAGATCTGTGATGATTAACTCACACTGTCAACACGACTGGGCTCAGACTCCCCTGGGAGACTGATGAGGCACACCTCTGGGTGCATCCGTGAGAGCAATCCCAGAAAGGCTTAGTTAAATAGGAAAAGACCCACCCCGGTGTAGGCAGGACCATCCCATGGGCTGAGGAGAACAAACGGGGTCAAAATGGATGCACAGGTTGCGGCTGAGAGAGCAGGCTGGGTGCTGCTGTGAAGGTAGTCTGTAAATGATGCTGACGCTGAGACCCAGCTGACGTTAGGGAAGGCTGACATGGTTCTGATTCCTGGAGAACACTCACTGTCCCTGTGATTTGTTACGGCAGCAACGCAAGCTGCTAGGCAGAGTGAAGAGGCGGGGAAGAGGCAGGTACCTGGCTTTGCCTGTTTCTGACCAGGACATCCGTCTTCCTGTGTCTTCATCTGAAAGATCATATATATTCACCAGGGTGGTCTCTGAGCACCTCGAAGACAGTTTATTATTTTTCTTTGGAACCGGAAGTGTGGGGATTGGGTCTTCTTGGTTTAAGTTGTCTGTGTTCCCAGAATAAGCCAGAAAGTATCTGGTAATGAGCTCAAGGTTTGTTTTTAGAGGCTTTTCCTTTGCCTATCATTGGGAAGGAAAAAAATATCATTAATTGAATGCACAGCATTAAGAGAAGGGTGAAAAGATGACCATCCCGATTCTTTGACACAGGTCACCAGCGTTCCCATCACACTACACACTTCCAGCAAACACACACCTACTCATTTGTGTGCCAGGCATTACTGGGTAGGGATGCAGAGACAAAGACAAAATCTACTCGAAAAGAACAAACGTCTTGTGCATTGTGACATGAACAGAGGGATGTCCAAAGCTAATTTCCTTTTGCGTTCTTTCCCTATAGAAACAACTAGAAGAGATATATCCTTTCATTAAGAAAACACAATTTAATTTAATTCTGTATTCCACTTCATTTCTAGGGCAGGGGTGCCACTGCAAGTGTGTAGAGGTCAGAAGACCACTGAAAACAGTCACTTCTTTCCTCCCACCATCTCTCTGGCCTCCACAGAGCCGAGGAGCAGTTGAGGCCTGAACACATAGTAGTGAGTGTTATGACTTGAATCTGGGATGTCCCCCACAGGCTCATGTTCTGGGTTCTTAGTCAACAGTTTGTGGTACTCTTTTGAAGTGTGTGGAGCCTTTAGTAGACAGGACCTGGCTGGCAGAAACAGATGACAAGGGGCAGGATTTTGAAGGGCATAGCTGCCCCTGATTCCAGCCTCACTGATGTACATCATGTTATAAGCCACCGTATCTTACCCATCATGATGGACCAAACTATCAAAAATCATGATCCCAAATAAACGTTTCATCCTTTAAGTCATTTCTGCCAGGTGTTTTGTCATGGCAAAGACCAAGGTAACTAACACAGTGGATGATCCCTCTTTTCACTGACCATTAGTAACTGCAGACCCTGGAGCCAGAGGCTAAGATGAAAGGCAGAGTCATCTGGGACTGACTGAGGTTATACCCCAAAGATTAAAACATATATATAAGTGTGAAGAAACTCTGCAAACAATTGTTTTTAGAATAAATGATATCAGTGTTTTCTAGCCTTTTTTTTCTTAAATATGAGACCAACTGAGACTTACTAAACCCAAACAGCAACAATTAGAGCTTTGATTTCTTCTAAACCCCTTCCCCCAAACAATCTGAACAGTCACCTAGTTGTCGGAGCTTCAGGAATCTGGCATGCATCAGTCCCATCCCAAGAGCTGAGCTGGGAGCATGCGGTCCTGCTGAGCTGTGGCCCGACATGGGCCTGCACGCCGTGTATGCCAAGTCGGAGCAGCCAGGTGTCCGATGAAGGACCTGGTGTGGAGCCCTCAGCATACGTCAAGTCCGTCCCCTGTTATTCCTCTCTGGCCAAGATCCATTACCCGTGGAAAACACTGAGTTCAACAGCCTTACCAGATAGTTAAAGTTGGGAATAATGGGCTTATTTACTTGGTTTTTATAAAACCAAAAATTTTGTCTTGGTCTAAATTAAGAAGATTACAATGAAGCAAGTTGAAGAAAACATGTGAAATTTATTTCAAACAGCCTGCCTTTTCTCTCAGTTAGGCACTCTGGGCTACTTGGCTGCCCATGTAACACTTTTGTGAGTCCTTACATCACAAAGCTCACAGGGGACACACGGCCTCACGGTGAAGCTAATAACATTTCCGTAGACCTCAGTCTTACATGGGTTTTCTAATCCATCACTTACGTCTCAGGAAAAACAAGGTACTAGGAATATTCATACTGAGCTGTAGCATTTCCCTGGGGTCAGTGAACTCTGGGCTCCGTGGATCTCAAAACAGATGACTAATAAACATCCATGTCTTTAAAACAGAGGCTCCAATTCATTCTATCATGGCTAAAAACTACTGCTTACGTCAAACAGTCAGAGATTTACCCAGGTCTGATGAAGCCTTAAGTTTTGAAGATAATCGTTACTGTAGAGACTATGGTATGGTGAAAACATGAAAATAAATGACAAGGTACTTCTGAGAAATTAAGTGCAAGTGGTTTTACATAAAATCCCAGGGACCAGTATGGTCCTTTGGATTTTCTGGGTGAAGGTCCCAGTCCCTGTGAAACATCTCCCCACCATGAACATCTCAGCAGAGGAAGGATAGAGAGCTACTAAGTCAACATACCTGGATCCAGGCCTGCACACACACACACTTGTACAGAGGACACAAGGACAAAGGTCCTATGGGATGCCTCGGTCTCTGGCCGGCCTCACTTGGCTGCCAGGGCCTAACCTCCTCAATGGAATCCTAAGGGCTCCTGCAGACAGAGTTACTGTAAGCTGAAGGCCAGCGGCTGGGGTCTGCAGACCTGCCTGGAACCCCATCTGGCACTTACACAGAGCAAGCTGACCCAAGGTCCTCTCTGCCACACCATACACAGTCGGTGAGTTGTCAAGGGATCTGGAGATTTCTCTGGGTATCCCAAACAGACTTGTTTTCATTCCTATATGCCTATTCAGTCAGTTAGGATTTCATTTCATTTTATTTATTTTTATGTGTGGGAGGCGGTGGGGTGTGTGTGTGTGTGTGTGTGTGTGTGTGTGTGTGTGTGTGTAAGAGAGAGAGAGAGAGAGATACATGCACGTAAGTGTGCAGGTGTGCATGGAAGTTCACAGGCACGAGGAGGTCAGAAGGGGGTGTCAGGTACCATCCTTTATCATTGTCTGCCTTATTGCCTGGAGATAAGGTGTCTCACTGCACGGGAAGCTGGCTGGCCAGCAAATTCCTAGGATCCACCCGTCTCTGCTCCCTAGTGCTGGTGAGAGAGGAATGCATGGCCACACTAGCTTTTTAATGTGGTTGCTGGAGACTCAGACTCTTACCACTGAGCCATCTCCCCAAACCCAAGTCTTCTTTGGAAAATCAATCTCTAGCCCAGTGTTGGGCCTGGTAGCACACATACTTGTAATTCCAATGCTCAGAAGGCTGAAGCAGAATTGCCATGGTTTGAGGCTAGCCTAAGTTACCTAATAAGTTTGGGCCAGGCCTTGGCTACAGAATAAGACTGTGTCTCAGGAGACAAAAAAAGAAAAAAGATTTCTATCCTAGTCAGATATCAAACAGCCTCTTTGGCCCACAGCACTCCTCAAAGGGCAAATTCCCATCATACCAGTGGGTTCAGAGCTTTGGTCCTGTGCCCAGAGAAGTGGGCCCGGAAGCCGGCAAAACATCCTCCCCTTACTCAACATAGCATGGCTTCCCTTATGCTCACTGTCAGACTTCCGCATGAGATGGCACTTGTCGGCTTTCTTTTTAAAGTACGACAAACACAGAACAAGGTGATATTCACCAATCTCTCTCTCTCTAACTATTAGGTCTGTCATGCCCAGGCATGAAGGAACATTTCCTGGAGAGGACTCTTCTAACAGAAAGAAAATTTAAGTCAGGATTATAGCTTCTGCCTTCACATATCACACAGATACATAAGGATTCGTCAATAAGTCATAAGACAACTCATTAAATATGAGGACACAACATGAAACGGACACACAGTCTGTGCACGAGGAAGGCAGACTCTACTGAGACAAAGCGTTCTACTTCAAATAGAGGGCATGGGAGAAGCCTCCAGGGCACTGTGACAACAGTTCGGTGGGGTAGGGAATCTAGGGCCAGGGGTCTCTCCATACCTCAAGAAGACATGTAAACATGTCCCCTTGGCTGTCTCAACTCCCACCCCCCTGGGTGTGCTAAACCTAGCTTTCACCTCTGCTGACCTAAGTCACAAGAGACTTACAGCCACAGAAAGGAAATCTTATTTTATAAAATACTACTGCATAACATATCCTTAAACAATCTTACTAGAGCTACCACTGGGTAGGGGAAAAAGGCACAGAGAACTCAGCTTCTCAGGCACAGACTCGGTTACCTCAGACCCACCAGGGGACGCTCAGGCCTGGTGGGGTGTACCTAGTTCACTCTGAAAGTTGTCATCTTGGCCAATCCCCAAACCTCCTGCCACAGCTGCCAGGCCCCGGGTGTAAGGACACCAGCAGGCTCGCACCTCAAAAGACAAAAGACGCATACCTTGTTCTCCCTGTAGAGAAACTCCAGGTGGAGAACTTTGCGGAGATTGTTTCTACTGTTGATGCTGAGCTCACAGCGGGGGCGCTCCTGGTCCATGGTCACAAACGTCTTCTTCAACCCCTGAGGGAAGAAGTCTGAGTCACTGCGGGCCTTCTGAAATAAAAACCTTCTCCTCTCTGACGCACGGTAAACAGAAAACGCTGGGACTCATTAGGACTAAGCTCATCTGCCTTCCTTGTGTGGCCATGGCACGGCCACAGAGCTGACTTCAGAATTCATTCTCATGAAGCCAATGGGCTTGATAGCTCTGTCAGTTTGACTTGAGGTCAGCTAAGGCTGGGGTTGTGCACTTATTTTATAAACAACAATGAAATCCAGGTAACTAGCTTGCCGAAAGCCAGCTCGGGGGCTCTGTGTCTGGCCTAGACATGGGGCCATGAAAGACCAACCTTTAAAAATAAACGGAAGTTTGAAACAAAACACAGTCAAAAGGCCAACAATTGTTCCCTTGACTTCTCAGCTGAGGAAGTCAGGAGACATGTTTGAAGTCACATGATCCACATTGGTCTAGCCAGGAAGCCTGACTGGCACCCTGTCCCCTACAGAGCAGCTCATGGATAACTGCCAAGTCACCAGCAAACCACCACCATTCACCCACCCTAAACACACAAAGACCAAGGTCTGGCAACAATAAACAGGGGGAATCCTGCATCCCCAGGAGCTTGGCATCCCCATATGAAAACAACCAGACAGCTGCTTCCTCCCACACAAGACACTACGACCACCCAACACCTGCAGGAGAGGTCTCAACCCCTTCCTTCAGGGCCAGAGATATCCCTTGTTCCTGATGGATCCCTGACTCCAAATGCTAGCTAGGTAGGCCCCAACTTTTCCCTCAGCCTTTGTCCTCAGAACTTTATCATGGCGCCAACTGCTGGAAAACAAAACCAAACTCGCTGTCTGCCATGAGTTTTGATGAAAAGTGAATGGGGGGGGGGGGGAAGGAGAGAGGCACACAGTGTTGAACCAGGGAGAGTGAATGGGGTCTTAAGGAATAGAACAGAGAGAAACAAATGCGCGTCTGTTGGAGAAAAGATGGTGGTGAGAAGGAGGCAGGCCCAGAAGCAACCCCCAGAGCAGAAGCAATGGGAAAGTGATTGCGCCTGGACATGGTGGTGGGCACTTGCAATCCAAGCACAGAAGCAGAGGCAGGAGAACCAAGAGTCTGAATACAGCCTGGGCTACAGAAAGAGCTTGAAAAGAGCCAGGGCAACGTAGACATGACCTGTCTCAGAACCACCCCAACCACCACCACCAAAACACACGCAGTTGCCCTAGCCCATAGCTTTGGCTCTCTGTGATTTTGTGAATATCCTAGCTTGAGTTTCTATTGCTGTGATGAACACCATGACCACACCAACTTGGGTGGGAGGGTTCATTCAGCTTCCACTTCTGTTCACTGTTCACAGCTGATGGAAGCTGGGACAGGAACTCAAAGAGGGCAAGAACATGGAGGCAGGAGTTTCCATGCAGAGGTCATGGAAGGATCCATAGCTTGCTCAGCTGCTTTCTTATAGAACCCAGGATCACCAGCCCAGGGACAGCCCTACTCATAATGGGCTGGGACCTCCCCATCAATCATTAATTAAAAAATGTCCTACAGGCTTGCATAAAGCCTGATCTTATTATAGAGACATTTTCTTAATTGAGGTTCCCTCCTCTCAGATGACTTTAGCTTATGTCAAGTTGGCATAAAGCCATCCATCATAAAGCCATCCACCCCTTTTAGATAAAACAATGGGAGGAAGAGGAGGTCAGGCAGGTAGATGGGTTTGGAGGTGTTACCCAGTTGGGAGGTCACCTTGTTGACCCTGCCTAAAAGGGACAAGCAGGTGTGACAGCTGTAACGTAAGAACCAATGAGTAAACAGTCAAGGTGAGCCCAGGACCAATCCTGATCAAGTCTGATCATGGGAGTGAAACAGACCCTGTCGCAGGACAGAACACATCAAGGGAAACAGGAAGGAACAGCTAGAAGCAGATTGGGAATGTAAGCTGGGGCCGAGCAGTGGGATCCCGGGATGTTGGTGAGGGCTCTGGACTGCACTCAAGGGATGACAACTTCTCTGACACCTCTACATCCAGCGCCTAGACTTAGCATCCGCGATCCACCTCTGAGCCCATGTCACTGGTGACCCAACGCTAACCAAGACTCGGGGATAGAAGATCAAAGCAGATACTATGAAGCCAGATGTACCATAGTGTTTCAAAATAAACATAAATCATAATAAATAGCACACAGGCATATTAAAACAGATTCACTCAGAGCTGGGGAAGCAAGTGTAAAGTTGAATATCCATGTGCAGGTTGTGTATAAGCATCAGATGTCGTGCATGGGTGCTGCCTGTCTATCACTAATTGCATTACACATGAGTGGAATTGCAAACTTCCTGTTTAGAGAGATGAGGTAGTAAGGTCAAATTTACACTGCAAACGAGTAACATGTATCTAAACTTCCACCATCAAATCCTTCCCCTTTGTTCCATTCAAACGTGTGTGTGTGTGTGTGTGTGTGTGTGTGTGTGTTTCCATCTCAAACAAGTACCCTTTGGACCAGCTGAATATGACATCACCTGGAAACACAGATCCCTTAGAGCATGGTCCCCAGTCACTTCATGTAAAATACAAACCAATGCCCGACTCCTGGCGCCCAGGAAGCACCCTCCTCTCCTACACCCCACGGGGTGCCCACCATGCTCCTAACTTATAAACACTTTGAAAAGTCTTCTGGGACAAGGCATAAGAGGATTTACATAATTCTTCTACAAAAGCTCATGCAGCAGCTGGAATTTCCACTTTTTATTTAAATGAACAGAGGACTGACGGTCCAGAACTTTCCTTTGAGAAGCTCTTTCCTAGAGACATGCCCTATGCCCCAGGCTGGGAGAACTTGCTCTGCCCTGGACACCTTTGCCAACCTGGCACTGCCGTGACAGTGGTGCCAAGGGAGGGCAGCAGACCAAAGGCCCGTTTCCTTCGTGGAAGTGGACTCGGACTAGGAAGGACTGGCTTCTGGGAAATGTAGTTTCCCGATCGCGGAAAAAGGTGCGCTCTTGGGGGAATCTGAGGCGAACAGAAGAGGTGGAATGCTCCCCCACCCCCGAAGGTGCAAAGGTACTACCGGAAACCCCAGGCTGCCCCCCACCATTAGAGCGGTCTCCTGGGCTTCGGAGTGCACAGCCATTACCTTTCTGCTAAGAAACTCCCTGACTAGGGAGGCGGCCACCTCCTCCACGTACAAGCTGTCCATGCTGCTGGCGCTGCCCCCCAGGCCACGCGGCCGCCTGCAGCCCCAGGCCGTGTAATCCGTTGGGCCCAGTAAACCAGCGTTGCCTTGGCGACGGTGGCCTCCGCACCAGGAAGAACTCCTCCCCTTCCTGGGGAACCGGCGTTCTAGGAGAGCGGGAGAAAAGAAGGGAGGAGCATCCTTCAAGCTGCTCAAGAAGCTGTGTGGCAATTGAGGGCGGAGCATAGCCTGTGAGCCCTGGGAGCAGGACTCTGGCCTCCTGTGGTGGATGTCACTGCTCCAGACATCCATTTCTCCACAGATACATTTCTCCATGCCTACCCTGTGGTTCTTAAAGGTCTGAACCTGTGGGAAAGTAACACCAACGATCCACCCTCAGGACTCCAGTTGCCTCTCAGGTGTACTTATACAGTCCTTAGGGACCTGTCGTCTGTATAGCAAAAAGACCAAGACTCCAATTCCTAGCATCTGGAAACTGGAAGGGATGATAGGTGGGTGAAGCCCAGGTCTTTATCATTCACTTGGGTACCACCTCAACCTGCTTGACCTCTGTACTTCCCGGTTGTGTTGGTTTGATGGTGCTCCCATAATAAAATGCCAGTCTGTGGCTTCAGCCACAGAATTACTCTCCTGCAATCTTGTAGCCTCCAAGTTCATGATCAAAGTGTCACCGAGGCGCTTATTGCTTGAGGCCCCTCTCACTGCCTCCATCTTCTTTCTGTGTCTTTACGGAGCACCCTCTAAATGTGTCTGTGCTATCCAACTCTTCTCAGAAGACGCTGGTCACAAAGAGTTGAGTGCCCACCATAATGACCTCATGTTTATCTTATTTTACCTTCATAGGTCACATTCTGGATGCAAGGCATTAAGACTCGTGAACTTTAGGGTCTCAACCCAGCACACATCACCTATATTACTGCTTAAATATTATTTTCTTTAAACCAACATGTTTCTTCTCTTTTTCTTAGAGGAGTTCCCAGGCAGTAAGACCCACAAAAACCTTAGGTTTATATGATTATTAAACTCTAGTAAACATTAAAACATTCACAAAATCGGAAAAGTGGGTTTTCATCTAAGACTGTCTCACAGCCAGAGCTGGACATGCACTGTGGTTGGGAAGCAGCATGCCCCATGTCAGTGTCCCGATGACATCACCGTTTCAGGACAGTCGGAATTAGTTTCCAGGCATCCTCACTTCCTAAGCCATCCAAGTTCTCTCCAAGGGCTCTCTTGGCCCTTGGGGCTATAAGACCTTGCATGTACAGAGAGGGAAGGTGCTGGTCATGAACCTTACCAGGGGACCTGCGATTTCAGATGCAAAGGCACACTAACAAATGTGTTGCAATTTCAAAACACAAGGCAGACTTATTTGCACATACAGGTAAGAGCTTGCGTATCAAAAGTGGAAACTGCTTGTGTTGGTTTTGTTCCTGCTGCTGTGGCATCCCCAGTTCCAGGTTCCAGCTCACAAACGTCACAGCAGGGTGCCTGAGGGAGTCAGTCTTCTCACATCCACTAACAAGATCGGAATGTAGTGAATATATTCATGATCAGCTAATCTCCGTCAGAACACGGTCAGAAGGACGACCCGTGGTGAGCAATGCCTTGGGGAACTGGGGGCCTTTTACCTCGGGTGCCCTTTGTTCCCTGGACTGTTCCTGGACATGATTCCAGGCCTCCTGTGACAAACATTGACATTTAATTTATAAGATATGTTTATTCTTGTTGGATGTCAGAACATAGCTATAGAAGCCAGTCTGGTCAGAGGGCCCTGAATTTGGATATCGCCTTCTGCCTTGCTTTTGTGCTTTCCCAGATGTAATCTATAGAATGTGCCAGGCAAGTGTATTTCAATTGCTCTGCCCTGAGAAAATTCTGAAAGGGCCAAGATCTACACAGGTAGGCTTAAAAAGTTGACAAATCACACTCTTTTTTAAAGATGGATTTATTTCTGTTCTGTGTACGTATAATTTTTCTTGTATTCATGTATATGTACCATGCACATTTGTGGTGCCCAGGGACTCAGAAGAGAATTTGAGTCCTCTGGAACTGAAGTTACAGATGATGGGGAGCCACCATGTAGGTGTGAGGCACTGAGCCTGGATCCTCTGCAAGAACAAGTATCTTTATCACGGAGCAATCTCTCTAACACCATTGCTTCACTCTTACACAGTTCAGGATTGCCTACCTATGGAATGCTGCTACCAAGAGTGGGCTGGGCTGACCTTCCCACCTTAATTACCATACTCAAAATTACTATACACACACACACACACACACACACACACACAGCCAAACTAATCTAAATAATCCCAGACACTTTCTTTAGAGGAAACTCTAGACTGTGTCAAATTGCAATTAAAACCAACCATCACAATTTTGTGTAAAAAAAAAATCAAAAGGTATTGGTTATGGTGGCACATGACTTTGAACCCAGCACTCAGGAGGCAGAGGCAGATGGGTTTTTGTGAGTGGGTTCCAGGTCATCCAGGACTACATAGTGAGACTCTGTCTCAAAAGAAAAAAGAAAGAAAGAAAGATATTTCTCTGTGGAGGTCAAGATCAAGGCCAATCCAGGTGTGATGATTAATCTTGCTCGTCAACTTGGCTGGATCTGGAATGAACTGAGAAGACAGCCACCGGGTCAACTGTGAGAAACTTCCTGGGTATTATTTGAAGTGGAAAGACACACCCTTACTGTGGGAAGCATCTTAAGTGGCAGCCCAGATAAAAAGGAGATGGAAGAAGGAATCTTGCTTTTCACCAGCTTGCTACTTTTCACCAGCTTGCTGGCCAGTTCCTCTATTCCATGGCTATTACTGACTCCTTTGCTGACATTTGAGTCAGTTTCTTTGGATTCCAAGGCAGACCAAAGGCCGGCAGATTTTCAGGAATCCTCCAGGCCTTCAGCACTATATTGGGACAAGTGCCACAATCAGGCTCACAAGACTAAGCAGCTACTGAATTCTTGGCCTCCCCAACATGAAATAGCTATTTTTGGATTAGTAGACTATACTGTATAAGCCCATCTAATAAATAGCCTTTTAATATATATTCATTTTATTGGCTCTGTCCTAGAGGACCTTGACTAATAACAGGACAAAGAAAAGCAGCATGCATTTATTCTTACTTACTCATTACTTATTCGTTAATAAATGCATATTGAGCCATGTCAATACAGAGTACACAGACGGTACTAATTTAACACTGTAAAATATGTCTCATAGAGAAAAGAGAAGTGGGGGAAAAGTCAGAGATAGACAAAAGGAAAAGAAAATGAGCATATCAGATTATTTTTATATCATAGATTTAAAGGAGAGAAAACACAGAAATTTAAGAGGGTTTTAGGTATGGAGAGATTGCTCATTTTTTTTAAAGTTCACCACAGAGTTGGGGAAATGGCTCAGGCAATAGAGTGTTGAACATGGGTTTGATCCAGAGCACCATATGCAAAGGAAAGCAGCATGGTGGCATACACTGGCAATCCTGGAGTCGGGAGATGGAGACAGGCAGATCTCTGGGGCTTGCTAACCAAGCTGCCTTGGAGAAAGAACACTCCAAGCAAAGAAAGATCAGTACAAAAGGCCGTGAGATGGCCTGAGTGGGCTTGGGAAACGGCAGAGGCCACAGGGCAGAAAGAAAAGGAGGAAACGTGGTATACTAGTCTGGGAAGAAACAACGACATCATAAAGAATGACGGTGTGCCACTCCCCTTAAAAACCAGACCACTGAGACAATAGACTACAGGGAACTGGAATTTCCCCAGGAGTCTCATACTGGGGAAGGAAAAGGCGGGGGCCCTGATGTCCCACAGACAGGGAGCCTGTCTCCCAGGAAGAGATGGCACACAGTTCTGACAACTTGTTCGTCCCCCTTTCAGGGAGACAACAAAGGGTAAGTGATGCGCAGAGCCAACCTTTGACCAGAACTGCTGAGATATGCGTACCTCTGGCCCTCTGTGTAAACCTGAATCTCATGCTGGGATGCTGAAGATGATGAGCCTTTGAGACAGTCACAAACCTGAAATCCCTAAAGGATGAGATAGAATATTGCACTCTACCCAAAGAAGCCCACTTCCACATTCATAGGACTCATGGAGACCAGTTGTCTGCGGGTCTGTGTGTAGGGCAGGACATAAAGAGATGGAAGTTTATGGAGACATGAGGAGGAGAAGGAGTCCCCTCTCCCAGGAGTCTGGTTGGAGCCTGTAGCCAGCTGAGAATTAAGGATCCCAACACAATTAATGTTTGATTAAGGCCTTTCTCATTTCCAAGCTATAAAAACCTACAGTTTCTGGTAATCTCATGGGAAACCCCATTGACAATTTATGATGCCACCAAGGCTCCCTAGTACCTGGCCAGGTTCCTTGACACAGAACTAGCATTCGTCTCGAAGCACTATGCAGGACCTGCCTGTGTTGGCTGTAAATCTGGGGCCAGTCTGTTTCAAAATGCCATCACTCTCAGAGAGCACAGCTGTCGCCATATGACTTGTACCAAGGAAGTTAGTACTCTGAACTTCTGGCTTACATAGTAGGGACATTCTCTTTTTCTGAATGAGATGACCTCCACGGCCCAGTCCCAAGCTACTGAGAGGAAGGGGCAGTGAAACTAACTCAATTCATTTGGCTCTCATGTGGGGTTAAATGTTAGTTTTTCTTCACATTTTTGAGGAACGGAGAGTTAGACAGGGGAACTTGGAAAAGGGAAATCAGCTAGTAGATAAACTAGTGTGCAGAATCCTTACTCGGTAGAAGGAGATAAGAAAATGTCTCAGTTCTACAGAAAAGGTAGATGATAGAGGTGCTGATCAAAACACGGGAGAAGCCAACATGATGAGGAGGAGAAAGCCAGTTGGTCAAAACAGAATCTCTCTCCTTCAATCTCTCTCTCTCACCCCACCCCCATCCGCATCTTATTTTTGTTATTTGTTGTGTGTGAGCACACGCATATGTATGGCTATGTTCGTCCTGATCCCCGTGTAGAGGTCAGAAGACAGTTTGGGTAGCTGGTTCTCTCCTCCCACCTTGTATTCCAAGGATTTCACTCAGGTCGTTAGCCTTGGCAGTGCCCTTCTCCTCAACTACGTCGCTGGCTCCTCTCTCTGTTTTGATCCAGTCTCTCTGGCAAACGGGGATTGTGATGGACCTAAGAGTCTACGTGAGCCATAAAAACCTCTGGTGAGAATCTAGTTCCTAGCATTACCCTAATTTCTACAGTATTTCTTTTTTAATAATTAAGTATATTTCTTGACAATTTTATATATACGTGTATATATACATATATAATTCATTCTGATTATACTGAACATCACTGTCGCTTGCCCCCCACCCCCATTCTTATAAACCTCTCTCACCTCCTTGCAGAGCCCTCTCCTGCTTTCCAGGGCCCTTTCGTGTCTTCAAGACCATATCCTGTGAGAGACTCTTACACATTACCAAGTTCAGATTGATTTCTTTGTTTTGCAACCAAAATGCATGGTGTTTTCAGCAGTAGCATCTTACCATCTAGTCCTGGTGAGTAACCAAGAGCAAAGGCCATAGCCTGTGCTATTTCGGGGGTGGAGCGACTTCCTAACCAGTAACTGGTAGGGGAGGACCACATACATGACACTGGGATTTTCACTTGACTACCTGTGACTTCTCGAATCAGCACTATTCACTCACGTGGAATACTTCTACTTAAATTCTTTGTTAAGAAAAAAAAAGTTTTCTTATTTAACTTAAAGAAGATTGTATTTCCCCGTGACTTCTTCATAGATCTTTAGCTTTGGTCACACAACCACCTCCTGTCCTTCCTCCCACCTGTACCTGACCCCTTTCTCCATTTAAACCTTACCGCTCCCAGTATTCTCCCTTTCAACCGTCATTTCATACGTGTTCACACGTGTTCTATTGTCACCCTCCCCGAAATCA